ATCATTGTAGCCGCAAGGCTAGGAAGGCATTATAATAGAAATTCCAATCAAATATTCTGAACCACAAAAACCGTAGTGTTTTCGTAGGGTTTTGCGACAAATTTGCCGAGATTTGAATGAAACCAGTCAAATCCAAATCCGAAATGAGACCAAGAAAAAAATTCAAATCCAAATCATGTTTAGTCTTCGATTTCTGATTTAGCTCTTTTTTGTTCCGTAACTGATTGTACATCAGATCATAAATATCACTACGTTTTGTCGGCAATTTCGCGCCTGAATACTCACTTCACAAGTTCCTGTGCGGCTGTCAAATCGTATCTAGCAATCATTAACATTTAGCACGATAAATTAAGAAAATTGCTAAAACAGGCTGTTTGATCATTAAAACCACATCCCTCTCCGCTTGTATGCTTAATCGTTACTCAGGGCAGTAAAACTTTCTGCGAAAACCATATGTTTTCAGAAAAAAAAATTGCATTTTTTTGGTTGCGTGGGTCAAGAAAAAAGAACATTATAGGAATACATAAAATGATTACCAACAATTAATTAATTTTTTAATATGTTAGAGAGTTATTGGGTATGTCACGAGGATGCTGATTGCTTCGCAAACAATTTTGCAGCCGCTGCTTCCACATCATGGCCACACTGTATCAGCATTGCCCGGGCCGCTGCTTCCTCAAAGCCAAGAGACATCAGCGAGGCCAATTTTGCACTGTCCACTTCCTCTGCAAAATCAAACAGGCCAGTGGAGCATCTGGTGGGGAACAGCTGGGAAGAGCTGTCACAAATGGCGGCATCCCGTGCTACATGTCCAATATGCGATTTTGCCTCCAAGACAGCCAAATTACCTACGATCCATTGATCCGGTCAGACAGTTAACTGGTACTAGCGCATGCCAGGGAGCACCGTCACCAGCTTTATCTACAAGCAAGTTCTGCTAAGGGAAGCCATCGAGAACCATGCCTGCTCACGACCGATGTTTGCAATTGCCATCATTGGGGCTAATTTGGGCTGCCCTCGTTCACAAACAAGATCAACAAAGAGGATTTTTATCGTTGGTTGATACTACAGTAAACAAAAATTGCTGGAATATTACCATTTAAAAAAAAAAAAAACCTAAAATTTATCAAACGTCCCTTTAAAATGGCTTGCTTTTACGCCCACTTACGGTCAGTAAAGCTCTACGAAAATCATATTTCTTTAAAAAAACTGCAGATTTTTTCGTAATGTGAGTAAAAAAATATTACAGATATGCAAGATTCCGGAAAAAATTGAAGAGAAATTGGAAAGTTTGTTAGCTTTTCATTACTTACAGCCGAATAGTAACGAGGTTTGGCAGATGCTAGCACATAAAATATTTTTAAGCCATTCTTGGCGCGTTAATTGTATAAGTAAACAAAAAATTGCTTAAGAGGCCCAAGCATTGTGCACTTACCATTTTCAGTAGCAGAAGAGTCTGAAGGTCCTGGATGCGGTCCTGCGTGAATTTGGGGTACTTCTGAGTCGGGTAGAAAATGCGTTACTGCTGATTCGCCGAATCTAGAAAACACACAACATTTTCAGTGAGACCTGTTGCACAATCTTCCCTTTTCAGTATGCTTATTTGTTTGATCTTGCCGCACCGATATCAAATTAGGGAGATATCTTGGGCTTATCACAATCCTGGCTTATCAGATGACATCAGTCGATAAATCAAGTTTAATCAACAACTGATAATTAATCCTTCGTCCCAACCGCATCTATTCTGGTTTATCCTTCGTAATCCTAATTTCAAGCAAAACACATGCGCACCACCGCGGAGTTCATTTGTGAATAACGTGTTACGGCGA